GGCCATCATGCACCATCATAGCCATGTCTTCTAAGATATCCCGGGGCTCCTGTTCTCTGAACTCTATCTCATGTGCTTCGACTTTCTTTCTAAAGATCTTCTTAAGCATCTAGCACTTTTCTGTAGGATGTCCTAGTGATCGGCGGAAAACACAATAATTAGAACCCTCGCGGTCCTTCTTCGGCAAAAGCTCTTCGACATGAGGCAACTTTAGTTCTCCGTCTGCCACCCATTCTTTAACTAAGGCCTTTACCTCCTCAACACTACATGGAAAAGGAGTGTCATCTTCGCAGTTTTTCCTCTTCTGACCTTTGAATTCCTCCCCCTGCGACTTTTGGGTAGAAGACACGGAAGCTGCAGTGACAGAAGTTCCTCGGGATGACTTGAAGCTAGTTTTATAACTAGTCTTGAAGCCAATCTCCTAAGACTGAGGTATGTTGATGTTCCGGGATGCTTCAATTAGTGCCGAGAAAGTGGGTAACTTGTGATTAACAAGAAGCATCTTGTACCCATTCAATGCCCCTTCAACATAGATTTGGACCAAGTAGCTTTCCTCCACAGCCTCATAATAGTCCACGGCTTTGTCTTGGAACCTTTTCACATATTCGAGAATGTCTTCACTATCTCGTTGCTTTTCCTTACATAGGGTAAATGTGGTCACTTTCTCAGCCACTTGAAAGAATTTGGCATGGAATTTGTTGACCATCTCCTCCTAACTTCGAACAGAGTTTGGGGCCAAGTTAACGTACAAACTATATGCTCGGTCGGTGAGGGACTTGGAGAATTCTCTCACTCGGAGGACATGATTTGAACCATGAATCCCCAAAGTCTCAATGAACCGAACAACATGTTCTCAAGCATTTCCTTGTTTGCCATTGAATTTGATGAACTTCGGCATCGTGTACGCCTCCGGGTATGGATAACTCAACATCTCGATAGGGTATGGTGGCTTGACATCCGGATCAGGCAAAGAGGGTAAAGTCCTCTTGCCCCATTCGAGATCGAACATGGCTTGCACATCGGCGAGCGTAAGAAATTGTTGAGGGAGAGAACTTGATGGTGGTATTCCCGAAACCTAACTTATAGACCTGAAGACTGAGCTTGGAGCAACTTGGCCATTTGGGTATTGAGAATTCACCATCGGTGAAGACACATGATGATATTGGCCATCGGCACCTATGGACACGCCGTTTGGTAATAGGACGTTGCATTGGGTCCCATAAAGTCCATTGTACACCACGGCTATATCAGGTTGGGCTTGTAAACTCGGCATCAGAGCCAAAGGAGACCCACTCAGTACATGAGTAGAATTTATAATCGGTGGAACAAAATTAGGCATGGATGGAGCACCACTTTGTAGAGAAATTTCTGTAGGCCTTCCTTGAACTTCCACTGCCGCTGGAACACCATTCATTGCACCGGAGACTCCTCCTACCACTGATGGACCATGGCTCAATCTTCCAGTTGCGTGATTTTTTACTCCATAGGCTACAGGTTGACCATAACTTGTTCCTTCTAGCACTTGATTTTGCACACCATTTTGAGCAACTTCAGGGAGAATTTGGGGTGGATCTTGATGGTTTTGACCATTCCCAACATCACCATGAAGTTGTTGATGATTTCCGGCGCTGACTTGACCTCCATTTGTTGCCGGTGGTGCGAAATGTGAACCCATCACCAACATGGTGTGGGTGAGATTTTGAAGGGTCGTGAGAATCTCTTGTTGAGTGTGTTGGAGTCCTTGAATAGCTTCAAGGATGAGAGGTAGGTCTTGAACTTGAGTTCTCTCATCACCACCATTGGAAGAACCTTGTTGATGAGTCTCATTATCTGCCATTTTTGTCGATGTTATATGAGTTCCAGATCTCGTTGAGACCATTAACCAATCCGCCTCCCCAGCAGAGTTGCCAAATGTATGAGAGGGTTCAAGAACGTCGTTGGAAAATTCGAAGATCTTCGAAGATCCTTGAAGAACAACTTCGAATTCTCTAGAAGATGATGAGAGGCTTAGATTCTTCAATAGTCTCAACTCAAGAACACAAGAGCAAAGGAGATAATGGAGATAAGAGATTGGGTGAAGAAAAAGGCAAAGTAGCTAGAGAGAGAATAATGGCAAAGCTCTCCCATGGATCTCCCAATTTCACTCTCAAGGTTGATTATGGAGAAGGGAAATTAGTTCTTTCCCAAGAGTTTTCTCTCCAAAATCCATCCCCCTGTAAAGCTATGGGTGGGGGCTATTTATAGGCACCTCATGATGTAGAATGGAGCCCATGTGCAAGGCACATGGGGAATATTCTCTCTAACCACCTTGTCTGAGGAGGTGACCTCTCCGAGGATGAGGAAAACCCCGAAGGGGAGATCAACCCCTCGGCGAACCCTTCTTCTTAGCCACACCTAACCAATGATCCCCAATCATCCCAAAGGGTCAAGGATAGTCCCAGAGGACGTCCTGCCGCATAAGGGTCAGGGGTAGTTCAAGAGAACGCCCTGCCGCAAATATTGCCGAGTCTCAGGGACTCCCTAGATCGTGCCACCTTGACCCGGGTATAGGCTAGTTTAACCGAAGAGTGAATTCATCTCCACTCACAGTCCTCGGGATCGGGTCCTTTGTTCGGACTCCATTACGCCCATGGTTCTGGTACGTAGATCCTGGAAAGCTCTGAGTCCGCAAGTGTTCTGGGACTCATTAATGGAGCGGCTTCTAGATTGCGTCTGAATCCGTTCGAAGCCAAGTGCTTCGAATCTCTAGATTTGACGGTCCGAATCCTTTCGAGTCCAAGTGTCTCGGATCTCTAGGCTTGCTCAATACCCTTTCGAGTCCGAGCCCGAGTAAGTCTCTAAGTTCGTGGATCCGAACTCGTTCAAGGCTTAGAGCGATTCGGCCCGTTTGATGGCGATAAATCCGGGCCCACCAATCTTGGACTTGCGATAAATTTGGGCCCACCAACCTTGAACTATTGGGCCTAATTAATTTAGTGGGATTAAATTAGCTTCTCTTACAAAGCTCTATGCCGTAAATTTGTTGATTTACCATCTTTAAAAATAAATAAATAATCTATTAGCACACATATTTCTCTTCTAAAGTTTTTTCTTTCTTCTAATTAAAAAAAAAAAGAAAGTAATTTCTCTCACATTCTCTCAATTCTTTATGATAAAAAAGATAATTTACCTCGCATCTCTAGCACTTATATATACAATTCTTTTTTTTTATTTTAAAAATAAATAAATAATTTATCGACCCACATGTCTCTCCTAAAAGTTTACCTTTTCTAAAATAAAAGGTAATTTCTCTTACATTTTCACTTTCTTTAAATAATTAAAAAGAAAGTAATAACCTATCCTACATATCTCACTATAAAGTATGGATACTTTAAAAAATATGTCGTACTCGTATCAGGTACTTACCAGCACATGGTACCCCGTATGGTATATCTGCGTACGTTCCAGGTACACAAAACATGTATCTAAATTTTTTTCTCTTAATTTTTGGCGTACCTAGATGTACCTTGTATATACCCAAGCTGTACCGTACCTTAATTGAAACAATATTTTCTTCCACTACAGAGATAAAACTCCTTTCACTAAGACTTCTTTTTTATTTTTTTTTGTTTTATACTTAGCATGATTTTAAAATTAAACTATGATTTGTAAGTTATTTAATATATTGACATTTAATTTTGATTTATATCTTTACTTTTGGTATTAAATGTTAATTGTACGTTGGACATTAACAAATTAAACTATTTATTTAATTTTTGCATTATTCTAAATTAAAAATAAATATTTTTTTACAAACGTACCAAATCATACTCATACCCAATTTTTTTAAAATTTTACCGCATCGACATATCCATATCGTATCAATATCAGTACTCGTACCCGTACCCTTACTTCATAAATCTCTCATATATACGATTTCTCTCAACACAACAGTGAAAATCACATTACCTCACCTCTCTTATGTTTTCTCATGGCGGCCAGCGAACGACTCCCTCCCACTCTCAATAACTATAACAGGTTAATCAATTCACTTTTGTTATTTGTTTTATTGATATTATGCAGGGGTAAGCATTAACTCTTTACTACCTCACACTTTCTTATGGATTAAAGCTATCATCTATACTATTATATAAGTTATACATACTATGTGTGAATGGTTTGTAGTCCATGTGAATTGTCTATCCCATGTGTTTGATTAACTATCATTCACTACTCTGATGTGGGGTTTGGACTCTCTGAATTATTTGGAGGCCATGTGAATGGCTTGTGGTAAATATATGACCAACTATCACTTATGTCAGTTTCAACTATAATTGTGTGAATATTCGTAAAGCTACATGACGTGAGTCTCAAGTTTTCAACAAACTTTGAATAGGTTGAGTGAATTTGTTTATATTGTGGTATGGTTATGATTAATCATCACTTGGATGAAATTACTTAGGTTTATCGAAATGAAAGTAAAATTAAATAAGTGATATTATTTAGGTTTATTAAAATGAAAGTAAATTAAAATGTAATACATTAAGTTGCTTTTAAGGTGCACTACAGGAAAAATGGTCTACAGCAACAAAGCTTTATTTTTATGTGTATACAGATATATATATATATATATATATATACATAGAAGTTCATTATATTTAACCTAGTTTCACTACAGGAAAAATGGTCTACAGCAACGTTTCTTTTATGGCGTTTTTGGAAACGCCATTATAGGTTGATGAAAGACAACGTTTTTAAAACGCTGTCTTAGAGCTCAGTTGAACGACGTCGTATCGGGTGTATATATTGACACCATCCATACTCCGTCTCTCACTTTCTGTCTCTCACTTTCTCTCTGTCTCTTCCGTAGCTCGGTCTCTCTCCCTCTCTCTTTCTCTCTCTTCCAAAGCCCTCGACTGATATTCATCGAACCAGATCGAAGACACACACACACTCTCTCTCGCTCGATTGTAGATTTTGCATTGGTGGTGATCAGTGGTGAATTGTGGCCAGAAGGGCTGGAAGGAGGAGGAATGAATGAATTTTTTTTTTTTTTTCCCTAAACACATGAAACCAACTTTCTTGTTACCTAAATTTAAAAAATTTTGTGAACTGCTTCTAAGTTTTTGGAAATGAAAATAGATATCAAATGAATTTTTGTTCACAGTTTTTAAAATTTTCAAAAATATAAACAAAAATAAAATGTTAGAATTTGCATATTTGGATCAAGAAGTAAACGTTAAATGTTCAGTGCAGCAAATTGGGTAAATTTGCATGGCATATTAAAGCAGAAATATCTTTATGAAAGCTAAAACCTAGAGAAAAATGAATTTGTGAGTTGAGCATTGTGTAGACCAAAATACCACGGATGCCAAGTTTTAATTTTATCTATTTCATTCCTCAAGTTTTCAATTCTAGTCAAATCGGTCTAATTTCAGAACAGCCATTTAAATCATTAACGGAATAATCATAAATCATACCTCAGAGTTTGAATTCTGAGATAGATGAAAGCTTCCTCCAGTAGCAGCAGCCCTACACCGGATAGTAAAGGTCCTGAAAGGTGCACCTGAAAAGCCCCTTCCCAAAGCTTTGACATATGCCTCCTGAAAGTTAAATAGACACAACCCAAGGAAGGCAAAAATTAATATTCACTTTAATAGATCAACCATGACAAACCCTCTTAGACTTGATATTACTCAGGGTACATCAAATGACCAAAAGCTCCCCTACAGGATTTAAGATTCATGTTACCAAAAATTGAATTTAGATTTGCAGAAGCTTATTTTTGTTGAAAATACAGGCCTTAAGAACCTTCCTCTAAATACATAAAAAATCAATTCCCACCAAATATCAAAACAAGGCTTCTAGACACAGGCATAGGTTAAAGACGACATGCAAAACTCTTTGCAGAACATGCCAAGCTGCGATATTAACAGTCTTTAAAACCAACATAATCATTTGTCAACATTTTTTTTTTCAAGGAAATGAAATAAAGAAGGAAAAAACTGCACGAATACAGATCCTTAAAAATTTACCTGCATCATTGACAGTAGAAGCATCTCAATTTCACCTCATAAATTTGAAAAAATAAATCCTTTTTGAGCATATTTTGGACTAACATCTCGTTATTATTGATTTTTCAGTGCTTGCATCCTATTCCTTCAAAAGAAACTTCTGCTAAATATTCAAATATAAACTGTCGTAATTTGGTAGAGAGTTCTAATAGGGGTTAGATTGTTTTACTTCCTAACCAAATCAAACATATAATATGGTGCTATAATCTTGTCCATATAAATGAAATGATACTTAGTTGTGAGGCTTTCTATGTATTTTAGCAAACTGTATCACAAAAATATTTTCTTGGCTAAAATTTGATTTGATTTAAATTTAAATATATGTTGAAAAAACAATTTAATTTTTTATTGCCAACAGTACACCTAAAACTAACTATTAAAGAAACATAGCTAACCTTTAGTGTCCATAACTTTATGAACTCCTGGCGCTGAACTTCAGGGTCTGAAATAGCAGCTAAGAAATCCATTTCATGGTGTGAAAAGTACCGCCTAGCAAAAGACAAGATATCATTCCTTATTGTCCGCTGCTTTTCTTCCACATCAATACCAATCTATGATAAGAAGGGTGAATCACATCCATTTAAAGTTACTTTAAACAACAGCAGTGGAGAAAAACAAGAAAGCAAAAATTCAAGGAGAACCAAAGTAGACAAGAGGGAATCATAGTACTGACTTGAGAATTCATAGTAACCCCACAGGCTATCAAAGAAGAAGTATGGGAAAGGTTGAAATGCAATGGTGGTGGGTGCCAATCATCACTTTGTTGCCACTCTACCTATCATCATATTCTATAAGAAAACATATTTACCTTTAAAAACATAAAGTTTATGAGCCAATGGATAAGAAATTGCATAGCCACTCTCAGTAAGAAAAGCAAACCTCAGGCTTCCCATGGATGTTCTTCCTAAACTTCAAGGATCTCGGATTAACTTGAGAATTGATCTGATCTAGTATGAAAATGTATTTTGCTCAAGTTAACACCAGCTGCTATACAATATCTATCTACATCATTGATGGATCACAACAATAATTCTCAAAATAGGAAGGAAAGAATCAAGCAAAAGAATCCCATCTAATAGTTCAAATGTAATATGCTGGTTCATTTAACAACAGACTGTCACACAAGCAGAGACTGCCTCTCTCTCTCTCTCTTTTTTTTTTTAATAAGTGAGGCAAATTGTATTAAAAGAAACATCAAAAGGGATGTTGCTATATACAAAAAGGTTCAACTATGATATCCTACATCACTCTCAAAACTCAACAAAAGAGGCCTATATGCTCAAAGACAAAAAGACCTAGAGATTCTTACAAGAGGTCGGCAAAATCTATAATACAATCCAGGTTAGTTTGACCTTCCATGAAATTCAACTATCCAAAATGGCCAAAAAGTTACTTTTGAGCCTAGACATAGGCTCTATACTTTGAAAAGTGCTACTTTGTCGTCTCAAGCCACATTAAGCACAAAAAAACTAGGAACCTGGCCTTCTATCTTTGCTTCCCCACATCTCCTCTAATACTGCTCCACAACCCCATCAGTAACAACTACAGGAACTCATCCAAAAGGGCTAGCCAAAGTGATGTCATTTGGGTTCATTGTTCCTACTTATATACCAAGACAACCCATGCAAACTTCAGATATGTGAACCTCCCACAGTCGTGCACGGGTTGGCTGCTCTAATACCATAAGTAACAACTATTCCCTAGTGGCCAGAGCCACCAACACACAGAAGTATATTCCCTATCCTTTTAGGCATGGTTTCCAAGTCAACATGGTCGTGCACATGAGTCGACTCTAATACCACACAGAACAACCATGGGAACTCACCCAAAAGGGAAAGGATGTCATTTAAATTCATTATTACTAGTAATGTACCCACGATCACCCGTACAAATTTTCGATGTAGAAGGGGATCGTTACCCCATTCCCCACAACCTTAGACATAAACAAAGATTCCAATGTAATCCAGGTATGCAACTGTAACTTGTAAATGCACCAATATTACAACCTTGACATTATGGACTTTTACAACTGAAATCAAAACTAATTTTGCCAAATTTACCGTCAAACCTGAAACAGCCTCAAAACATAGGGGAATACACCAAAGATAGTCCAATTGGACTGGATCTGCCACCTTGAAAATCACAAAGTCATCTGTAAGCAGAATATGAGAGACCACAATGAAAGCACCTTCTCTAGCAGACACACCCTATTGATCATCTAACAAGAACGAAAAGCAAAGTGCCAAATGCAGGCAATATCCAGTACGGAGAGTCCTTTCAAATAATATCTGGAAAGAATAGCCTCTAAGATGTCAGCAATTAGCTATGTTACATGGACTCGGGTACGGGTGTCAGGTGCGGGTATGTATCTAGAGGTCGGACTCATTAAATCATAAATTTAAGGATACGCGGACTCGGCAAAAAAATGCCATATTTTTATATTTTTAATCTAATATGTGAGATAAAATGGTATTATATTTAACTTATAGTGTCAAAATGACATTTATAGCAATTATATAACAATATATACATATAATAATAGTGTTATATACAATTATATAAGAAGTATCCGTTGAAAAGTATCCGACACATATCCCATACCCTTGTCCGAGTGTCGGGTGTCCGACACGGGTATTTGATTTAATTTGAAGAGTCCATGTAACATAGCTTTTGACAGACAACTCAAACAAGTACGACTTAAAATGTTTATTGTACTTGTATTGCTTCTTTTCTGCCATACGAGAGGTGTAGATGAAATGCTTTGCTCTTCTGCCTTGCGATTCTGTCCTCTTTTGCTTGCCAATCATCTGAATCAGTTCTGCAGTAAATAGTTATGGATTTTATCGTGGTTACCTTGTCGTCAGTGATGATAAATTTATTTATGTTATGATCATAGCAGGGTGAAGAGGCATCAGCCTTGGCTTCAACTGAAGGTGCAAATGTGCTGGATAGGACTAATGATAAATCTATTCCAGAGTCCAATGCCCTGCCAGATTTGTTTGAAGAAAACTTCAAAGAACTAAAGAAATGGGTGGATGTGAAATCCTCCAAGTATGCCACTCTATTAGTGATACATGAGCGACGTTGTGGAAGGCTTGGAACTGCGCTTAAGGTATTCCGTTAATTATGCTTTTGCCAATTAATCATCCTTTGTACTTGTACTCAATAGGCCGGTAGAGGTGTGGGAATATCAGGCTTTTTCTTTTTTTTCTACTTTTTTTCTTTCAATTTTTATTTGTATGTTTTTACGTGTCGAATAAGATGAGGTTGGTTCAGTGAACTAACTTCTTTGGATCAATTAGGCATTTTGAAGATATAGAGGACTTCATTTTGTGATTCATTTGGTTTATCTCTGACATTCTTGACTTCTGATAAGTCTGGATATGTTGTCCATGGCCTGTTTTAGTCTTAGAATTTGTTAGGCAAATTCATTTAAGAAGTCGTGTTTTTGTTTAGTACAAACATCAAACAAGCTCTCTTTGCTCATAAACTTTCCAAGCATGTTATCGTTCCCTCAAATTTTCGTTCAAGTTTGTTTGAAGTGTTTTTATTTTTATTTTTATTTTTGGCCCCTTTGTAAAAATGATTTGCTTCTGTTAAAAAACGGAAGATATATTGTTGGTTGTTATTATCTAGGGCAGGGGCACATAGGCACTCAATTTCTTTTAGACCCCCTGAGGAACATCCCAGTGGTCTAGGCTGCATTTCTCCAATAAAGAGACCTAAGTTCTGAGTCAGCTGAACTTACCAAAAAAAGAAAGAAAAAGAAAGAAAGAATATAACTGATTGATTGTTAAATTTGTTAGGCATTAAATGACATGATTCAAGTGGATGGTGAGGCTCCGAAGAAGAAGCTATATGAATTGAAGCTGTCGTTGCTTGATCAGATTGGATGGGGTCATTTGGTGTCATACAAGCGGCAATGGATGCATTTCCGATTCCCAGTGAGTCTACCGCTTTTTTAAGGTTGTGCATTGTTTTGCAAGGTCGGGGGCATTATCTTGTGTAACCTGGTTTCCTATGGAAATCTTTTTGTTTTAGATTGATTTTTGCAAGGATAATTTCAAAATACAAATGGGATTGCATAACTAGATAATATAACCTTTTTTCTTTTCCCCCCCTTTCTTTTTCCGGTGCTTTGTGATCGTTGTTGCGTGAATTTCCCTGATGCCAATTCGATCATTTCACAAGGAGATGGTGGAAACAACTATTATTGTTTCTGCAATTTGAATTTTTTTCCCTGTGCTGTTGTTGAGTGTAAAACCTCATTTTTTTTTTATAAGGAAAATTTAGTCAAAACCTCTTCATTGGACCTTTGTTTGGTGAAAATATAATGGAGCACTTGCCTATTCACCTAGCAGAGGAGGCCAAGATTGCTGGTCCAGTGCAATATCGCTGGATGTACTTCATAGAAAGGTGTGCAATTCTACTCCAATTTAAGGTTGTAGTCATTTGTTTGTTTATAATTGAAAGTCATGTGTGCATTTGTTTGTTTATAGGTATCTTATGACACTTAAGTCATATATGTGTAATCGAAGTCATCCAGAAGGTTCAATTGCAGAGGGATACTTAGTTGAAGAGTGTATGACCTTTTGCTCAAGGTACTTGGATGATGTCGAGTCAAAATTGAATCGACCAATAAGGAATTACGATGTTAGCGACAATCCTGGGATATTACTGGGTCATGCTTTAGGAAAAGGAAAAGGGTTTGCGCTTGATAACACATCATGGGTACAAGCTCATCGGTATGTGTTATTTAACACTGCTGCGGTTGTCCCATATCGAGAGTAAGATACAATCTTTGTTTCAAAATTTTATTGATACCATTAATAAGTATCTTGCATTTTATAGGTACTTTAAATGTATAGGGAGCATCGTGATTTTATTAAGCGGTCACATCGTCGTCTTAAAGATTTTGATGTGGATCGCCGTCACAATGATGAGTTTCCCAGATGGTTTAATTCTCATGTAAGTACTAATAACTTACATGTTTTTAATTTTCAATTCTCATGTTTTCAATTTTTAATTCTCTGTTAGTTGATGTTTAATTTTGTTGACTTTGTAAAAATAGGTTGAAGAGCTTCTAGCTATTGAAAATGCTGTGTTGTCAGATGAGATTAAAACTTTGGCATTGGGACCTAGTAAAAAGGCCACGAGATTCAATGGGTATATAATTAATGGTACTAGGTATCATACGAGGAGTCGTGAGTGGAGAAGAAAAACTCAAAATAGTGGGGTTATGGTGAAAGCAAAGACTTGTAGCTATGCAAGTACCAGAGACATGAATCCTGTGGAAGGTGAAGTAGCATACTATGGATATGTGACAGATATTATTGAATTGTATTACTCATACGACCGTAGATATGTGCTATTCATGTGCGACTGGATTGACAACAACAAAGGATTGAAGCAGGATGGGTTTGGTTTCACACTTGTTAATTTCAATCATTTGTTATATACAAAGAAACAAAATAGTGATGAGCCATTCATCCTAGCATCTCAGGCACAACAAGTTTTCTATGTTAATGATCCCGTTGAAGCTGATTGGGATGTTGTAGTCAGGATGAAACCTAGAGACTTGTATGAGGTGTGTGGAGAACAACCAATTAATGATGGAGAACATCACAATGAAGTGGAAGGATTTGGCGACCAAGAATTAGATGCAACTTCGTTTGCTTGTGAAGAGGACATAAATTGGGTTAGGCAAGGTGAAGTTGGAACAACTATTGATGAAACTATTGGACCTCTTGGGATATCGACACAGACACAATCTGAAGATGATGAAGAAATGATATGATATTGTAATTTTGTTTCATATTCATTGTTACATTTGTGCTTTTAGCATGGATATTCATGTTAATGAAACCTTTGCTTTTAAAATGCGTCATTTGTTTGCTTTTCAACGTGATTGTCCTTGAGACAACCTTTTATGTCCTTGAGAAAGATTATATCTGTTATATTAAGATTGTGTTTAAAATTTAAATTTGTAGAGAATTTTTTTAATATTTTGGACTTTATATTCATTGTTAACCCATAAAATTCTACACGTATGCTTGTGGTCTTCTGTAAACTAGCATGACAGATCGACGATGCTCTAGGCAGAGGCAACATTTAGCCTCTGCAAATTCTGAGAGTTCTTACAGTGGGAGTGCAGATGAGAGTTCTTATAGTGGAAGTTCAGATGAGAGTTCAGAGGAGAGTACACGCATCATACCTGATCCACCCATGTCATGGTATCCTCCAGGTAGCTTGCCTAGTATATCATTGAGTACTGGTTCGACACATGACACTACTGCTGGTATGAATTATTTTATTCAATTGAATTACTCCATTAGATTTCTCTGTTGATGTGCTTTTTTCTTTTGATGTTTATATTTCTTTTTTTTTAAACTAAGTGACACTACTCCATTTGCTCCATTGTCTGCTCAATTCTTGTATTATCATTCTTTCTAGTATCTTCTAACTTGATATTGATATTTGGATGAGTAGGTCATAGTTTGAGAGGCCCAAGACTCATGCATGGTAGTGATTGGAACCCAAGTGGTGGCATTTTACATATTGTGCCTAATGAGTTGAACCAAGTGGTTGACGGGTATACACCCTTGGCTTCTCGTTTGGGTGTTTTAGCTCGAGATGGGAACCTTATGCCCCTCACTTATAGAACTTGGAGCCATGTACCGAAGGAAAACAAAGAGAGAATTTGGAGAGAAGTAAAGGTAAAAGAATTATTTCATTTTACATATCAATTTTAATCTTAATTTGTTATTATTTATTTTATTTGTTTCATATTTTATAGTTGCCAGTTTGTTTTGTTTCTTCCTTTTGTTGTTTCCTTGAATAATTCGAACAGAGAGAATTCGATGAAGTAGCTGAATATCTATGTATATATGTGTGTGTATTTATACAAGTAATTACATGTACTTACACAATAGTCATTTGCTTTCTTGGGCTATCTCTGCAACTTTAGAGGAATCTCTGTTTTACCAAATTACTATTATTTTATAGTTTTATTTTTCTTATTTTGTATTTTTTTTCTTTCTGCTGCATTGCTGTCTAGCTTCCTGGCTTTGACCTTTCTACCTTCCAGGAAAATGATTAAAAATAAAAAATAAAAATTATTATATTCAATTACCCAAAATAGTGCTTGTTTGTAAGACAAATACCAGCATTGCCATTGCACACTTGGAATTCTTCTGCATTGTTGTTTGGGCTTGCTGCTGTGTGTATGCTGCTGCGTGTATGTTGTTGCTGCTGTGTGTATGCAATAGTCACAACGTTGCCAATTATTTGCAGATCAATACAGATGCCGACGAGTCAATGAAGAAATTTGTTTTGGCATCTGTTGGGAAAAAATGGAGAGAGTGGAAGGCTAGAGTTAAACAATTGGGGTATACGCCATTCGACAACGATGCTGATAGGTTAACTCATCGGCCCGAAAGAGTACATGAGCATCAATGGCGAAGCTTAGTCTATTATTGGGGCACTCGGAAGGCACAGGTATCATTTAAATTGTTTATATAACTCTATCGTAATCTCATAAGATGAGTTTGTTAATTAATAAATTATCTTGTGTTTGTGTTCATATGTAACAGAAAAAAAGTATAAAAAACAAAGAAATTCGGAAGAAGAAGACATTAAATCACATAACTGGAAGAAAACCATTCTCAGTTGTTCGAGTAGAGGTATATAGTTTCTTTATATTTCAAATTGAAATTGTATATTTTGATTTTGTTACTTAATTTTAAGTGTAATTATAGGAAACTAATAAGAAGAATGGAGTTCCTGCAACTCGCTTAGAGGTGTGGATGGCTGGGTACACGAAGGATAACAAACCAAGTAATGATAAAGTTGTTGCGGTCATGGTATGTAGCACCATAATTATATACTTTGCATGTATGGAATGCATTAGATACTTGTCTCTTCTAAACATATAAACAAAGACCAACACAAGGCATGAGTAACAAGGCATAATACAAAACAATTCTCTCTTCTTTCTAGATTTTTTCCCCTTCTTGGTAAGGTACAAGAGGAAGGAGAAAAGTTGACACAGTAGAGACATGAGTAACAAGGCATGGTACAAAACAAAAGTTAGGCATTGGTATAGGGCTGTCATCAAGTAGTATATAAGATGGCAATGGACCATCAAGGTACTGTAGAGATCAAGGAAAATTTAATGTGTAGTAATTTCCTAGTTAAGTATTTAAATGACATCATCCTACCTGAACTTTTGTGTTTGGGATTAAGATTATAGTCCAATTGTTAGAATAATGTGGCCTTTAGACCACAAATTTATTTCATCATCCACGATTACAAATTCCTTCTTGGATTTAAATAATTCAAAGCACAAAAGAATTTCACAGAATAGGACACGGATGAGCTACAAATGCAAATGTGTTCATCACCCACCAAGATTCAAACCACCGAGTAAATGAGCTTTAGCTCCAATTTTAGAACCTGGTTCGAACCTTCAATCCAATTCTTAATCAAAACCCTCAAGCCTTGAATTCGGATACCCTGAATTGGTGTGAATTTGAAACTAAGATTTCATTAACTAAAAAGAAAAATTAACTGAATCAATTCAGCAAATTGTCACAGTATTTGACCAAAATTTTGACCAATGAACCAGTAGATAACCAAAATTTTCACCTAAGAAAAATTTTGAATCAATTCAGCAAATTGTCACAGTAATTAACGTTGCATCCCTATTATGCTCACCTCAGTCAGGTCATTGTGGATGCTTGAATAAGGTCGAAGAAGCTTAACACCTCAAAAAGAATAAAATAAAATAAGATAAAAAAAATTTCTTGATAGTTCATTTATATTTATTTATTTGATAATTTGATTGGTTGTTGTGCCCATTCAAATTGATCCTTCTTGATGCTTATTTTTGGGAAGCCTCAAAGTCTTCCACCAGCGAAGCTGAAAATAATAATTTTCTGCTATTGTAAAGAATCTAATAGGGATTCTTAAGCATCCTCATCAGGAGATAGAAAATAAATATGTTAAGGCAAAATTAAATGATTGATGTTTGGAATAATTGTTCAATTTCTTGTGCTTTATATACGTACCTTTAGTGTTCTACTTCATATACGTACCTTTAGTGTTCTACTTCAATTTCTTGCTTTGGTTGGTTTTTTATTCAAAAGATGCTAAGCAGAGAAAAATTCCAACGAAGTATTTCATACACAAGACTGGACTTTTTTTGAATCAAAATTTATAAGGGTATTCCAATTCTAATTTCTGCGTGCACTCCTCTAGCACTGTTAAGAGAAATACTATGGGGGTCAACATTGTTGTTGATGAGTTTTAGAAGCAAATTTGACAGGGAATGACAAACATTTATGAGGTCTGAAAGCAGGGTGCTTATTGCACAGATACTTTAAGGGAGTTGTATCCGTATTGGATACCAATAGTCCTTGGATACTCGTAGATATGTATTCGATACTTCCTAAACATAACCGATACTTGATAATAATTTTGTTTAATTTTGAGAAGTATTGTATACTTTGGGATACTCTAGGTGATGTATCCAAACTATTTTGAAAGGTTAGGAAGGTTTTCTCAAAATGTCACTCTATCACATCATTATACTTCCTTTTTTTTTACCTGAAGGGAAAAAAAGAGAAAACTCAGAAAAAGTTTAACAGAGTAGAAAAAAGAATTTAAGAAATGGTTTTCAAATTTAGGGAAGGCAAAAACATATTACACTGTATTTGCATGAACCATCAATAAGCAGGTAATAGTTGTTCTTGTTAAGCTTAGGATAATTTTAAAGAAATGATGATTTTATTCTTGTTCTTGTGAAATTGTTTTGTGAATCTGATCCCTCTTGTGATGGTACTGTTGAAGGGAAGATAAAATGGAGATAAATAAACCCTCCTCCCCTCTCTTCATCCCTGTCCTTGAATGTCTTGTAATATACTTGTGGTGGAAGATACATGGAAGGCTTTTCTCGACTCCATTTGAAATGTCATGTCCACCATGTTCCCTGGTGACAAGTAATTATGATCATCTCCATCAGCTCCAGTTTCTTTGCTTGTCAACTATCTGTTAATGTGACTTGTGGCATTAGTTATGAACAATTTTATTGGTGGCTAATTACTAATTAACAATTGTAGACACAAATGAAGGATCTTGGGGCGCAATCCAATGCTACAGATGAAGAAATTATCACACAGGTTCTAGGGCCTGAGCGACCTGGTCGTGTTCGAATATATGGATTGGGTCCTTCCCCGACAGATGTCTTTGGAGGCGGATATAGGCAATCGCAAGAACAAACTCGTATCATCCAAACGCAAGTCCAAGAGCAACTTAACCAATATAAAGCACAAATGGAGATGCAAATGAAGGAGATGATGGATGCTATGCTTAATCAACAGAAAGTACAAATGGAGATGCAAAGCACAATCCAAGCTCAACAAGCCCGAATAGAGCAATTGGAGTCTCAACAGGCCATGGGTGGGCCTGTTGCACCAGCTGCTACACATGTGCATTCACAACAACAATCCCATGCATACACCTCATCATTTAATTGTCATCGTTCGTCCGAGGAAGTGAGTAAAAGTTAATTATGAAATTTTCATATGACATTTTATTCATGTTATTTGTTCTTATCAAATGCAGGTTCACATATCAAAGAAAGAAAAGAAGAAGAAGAAGAAGTAGATATGACAAACTCAGGTTCATTCTAAACCATTATAGTTGTCAAAATTTTAAGCCTTGTTTCAATATATTACAAAACATCAAAATCTTAGCCAAAATGAGGATTTATATCACCTTGTATCGCTACTCCTTAACTTGATAACATACTAATATGTGCAAAGATCACTAAAATTTGATATCTCCTCAATAGCATATGGTAAGCAATGTGATTTAAAACTAACCTGAATAAGATTAAGCATCTTGCGGGATGAAAGTGTACCAAGTTTCGAAACAAGGGTTGTTTTTTTTCAACTACTAAAGGCAACCTCCTTGCTTTCTCTCACTTTCTCGAGAAAATTCTATCGGTTCGACCCTGCTTTCGTGTTCAATCAGAGTTGAATGGCGAGGCCTGGCAACAAGATTATCCAAGCTAAGCTGGTGGGTACGTCCTACCCTTTGCATATTCTTCTCTAACCTCCTCCCAATCATATTTTTCTCATTTCTTCTCTGTTTTTGTTTAGATACACAGTTTTGTTCTTCTTCTCCATTTCCCTGTAAATCTTTCTGTTAATGTTGAGAGTTTCACAATTATAGATATGATGATTTGTATGTGCAAATTTGGAGGAGTAATTGGGAAAGTGAGTGCAGTGGGGGAATCTTAAGACACAGAACACTACTGAAATTTTTTAAAAAAAAAAAATAATA